TCATTTACAACATTTAATTTCAGTTAGCTTTAACAGTAAAATCAACAAAATGTTAATCTGTTAAATCTATATAAAAATACCTGTCATTCCCCCTTTCAGATGTGACTGTGGACCAAATCAAAAGTTACCGTGAGCCCTAGTTTGGGCATCTCTGTGCTAGACAATACTCATTTTTTAAATTATAGCCATTAATTTATTATAACAATAATAATAATCTATTCAAAAATAAGGCTGCATCTAAAATCGTATGCTTCCTTACAATATAGTATGTGAAAAACCGAGTAATATGTCCGAATTCATAGTTTAAAAAAAAAATAGTAGGCGAGAAGTACCCAAATGACCTACTACTTCTGCCAAGATTCTGAAGTGTGCATTCAAGGGACACTACGCTATCCCATGATGCTACATGAGAGAATTCATGAATAGGACTGAAGTGACACAAATGATGCGAGTAGGTCATGTGATAATGACAAATGGGGGATGTAGTACATCCGAGTTCCATTGACACTTCTCACATTCATACTATATAATACATACTTTTCTAATGGTCGTGTGGTAAATTCAAATTTAAATGTAGTCCCTACTCGAGTAGTAGGCAATTTCGGACACAGCTTAACAGTTTTTAATCATATGCAGATTGTTTTTATTTAAATTAATATTGCATTTGAGTAATAATACTTAGGGCTGTCTTCATCTGTTGCTTATAAGAGAATTCTCAGACATAGTTAGTTTTACATAATCTAGAGTTTATTCGTATGACTTTATATAAATAAAAAATAAATAAAATACTTTATTTATTCACTTTTTTTATTTATGCCTTTCCCAGCTGGCTAGTAATATTTAGACAATTACTTTAAATATATTAAGAAGATTTTCGGACTGATGTTTAAAAATTAGCAATGACTATTTAGTTGTTTCTGTTTTGTAGACTTTGTTTTTCTTTCATTTACTATATTGTTAATTTATTTTTTGCATGACCATTGGTCATTTCTGGTATTGCAAGAACCACAAATGTCAGCAAGCGTTTCTCCATTTCAATTGCATTAAAAAACTAATTTTATATTTTAAAATGATGGATGATGAGACACAAGTTCAACCATAGCCATGTTTTTTTTGTCTAATATCAGTCTCCTATGTTTTCTCAGGGTGAGTTTTGCAGTCAGGGTGTTCGTGAGGGTCTGGTGGTGAGCTTTATTAAGTTCATCTGCCAGTCGTCTCGGCAGTATTGTGAGAGCGCAGGCGACAGAGGAGGATCCACACCTCCTGCTCTCCTCCTGCTGCTCTCTCGTCTCTGTCTGGACTACGAGACCTCCACCATCTCCTACATCCTCACGCTCACAGATGAACAGTTTCTTGTACAGGTATCCCATATCTGTTATATTTAGGATAAATCAAACTCTAAATGCATATAATCATGCTGCTGTTTTCTTTTTAAACAGCACCACACTCCAGTCACCCCAGTTACAGCACTTTGTGCAGAGGCCAGAGAAGCTGCTCAGAAATTACTGAACCACTATGTGAAGGTAAATAAGAGAATAGATTCAGATGTCATGAGTCATTAATTTTGGGCTGTGCAAGTAATCAACAAACTGTTTCGATTTCTGCCTTCAATGATTATGTATAAAGAAACTAAAAAACATTTTAAATAAGTGGCCAGAGGAGTGGGATGCGTTGAAAAATAATAAATTGTATGAAATACAACCTGAAATCTCAGTTTTTAGACATTTTAAGACTTTATTTGATAAAGGGATTTTTACCAGATGTCATATTGGACATACAAGAATAACCTATGGTTTTTTCGCTTAAAAGTAAAGACCCCACTTGATGTTTGGATTGAGAAATTCCATGCAAATGTCAACCTTGCCTTTAAAATAATAAAGTTGTCACCAAGTTTTTTTTTTAAAAATAATAAATTTGTAATTTTGTAATAAATCTGACTTCAACTGTATATTAATTTTGGACCTTTTACTATAAACCAACATATAAACCATTTGGAAGAGGCTGATATTTTAGAAATTATGGGATGTGTTGAAAAAATGCATTGAGTTTGTTAACTAGTAACATTAAGAGTTAAGAAATGCCATCCAAACATCTTTTTTCTTGCTGGGGCAGTTAAAGGGTTTTGTACATTTTTAGTAAAGTGGCATCAGGAAAAATTGTAGAATTTTTATTATGTATCAGCACTAAAAATCTTATTTTGATTTTAATTGCATATTTATTATTGAAATGTTCTTGCATGAAAATAGCCTTGGTTGCTGACATGGCATAAAAAACCATTGCATTACTCTTTATGGAATACCTTAGAATTGCATAAAAAAGCTGAGATTTTATTTTTTTATTCTACTGTATTTGTCTTATAATTGCAAATAGTTTGGACTTCAACTGTGTGTGTGTGTGTGTGTGTGTGTGTGTGTGTGTGTGTGTGTGTGTGTGTGTGTGTGTGTGTGTGTGTGTGTGCGCGCGCGCGTGCGTACATGCGTGTGTACGTGTGTGTGTAGAATTATTAGCCCCCTTCGATATTTTTTTTCTTCTTTTTTTTGATTTTTTCCAAATGACGTTTAACAGAGCAAAGAAATTTCACAGCATGTCTGATAATACTTTTTCTTCTGGAGAAAGTCTTATTTGTTTTATTTCGGTTAAAATAAAAGCAGTTTTTAATTTTATAAACACCATTTAAGGGACAAAGTTATTAGCTCCTTTAAGCTATATTTTTTCTTGATAGTCTACAGAACAAACCATCGTTATACAATGACTTGCCTAATTACCCTAACCTGCCTAGTTAAACTAATTAACCTAGTGAAGCCTTTAAATGTCACTTTAAGCTGTACAGAAGTGTCTTGAAAAATATCTTGTCAAAAATTATTTACTGTCATCATGGCTAAGATAAAATAAATCTGTTATTAGAAATGAGTTATTAAAACTATTATGTTTAGAAATGTGTAGAAAAAAAATCTCTCTGTTAAACAGAAAATGGGGAAAAAATAAACGGGCTAATAATTCAGGGGGGGGGCTAATAATTCTGGCTTCAACTGTATATATATATATATATATATATTTATTTGAAAATCACTCATATATTGTGTTTTAGTCATATGGGCCATTAATTATTGGGATTACAACATTTTTACCATAATTGATGATGTTTTTGTTGACCTGGTGTGGTTTTGATCCAGGTTCAGGGATTAATCATCAGTCAGATGCTGAGGAAGAGCGTGGAAACGAGAGACTGGGTGAACACTATTGAACCTAGAAATGTTCGGGCTGTAATGAAGAGGGTGGTGGAAGATACCACTTCTATTGATGTACAGGTGATAGACTTAATATCTGTTCCTTAATTCAAATATTAAATGTGTGCAGAGAATGCACATTTATAAGCCATAATACACCATGTTTTTTATTTTTCTGTTTAATAGGTGGGATTGCTTTATGAAGAGGGTGTAAGGAAAGCCCACAGCAGTGACTCCAGCAAACGCACCTTCTCTGTGTACAGCAGCTCAAGACAGCAGATCCGCTACGCACCAAGCTACACTCCCAGGTTCACTGTCACTTCACAAATATTGCTGACTTAAAATCACAATCTTATATAATGTTCATTTGAAGACAAACTTTCTCTGTAAAACTTTGTAATTATTTAATTCAATTACTTTGAATTATTCAGAAATATTCCAACAAAACAAAAAAGTTTTAAAGGCTTCCCTTAATTTTTCCAAGCATAATTAAAACTCTGTCGTTCACTTTAAATAGCTCATTGAATCTAATTGCTGTTCATTTACTCACCCTCAGTTTGACTAAAATGTTGGTGGATTTTTGTCTTTGCTTAGGCTTAATGAACAGCAAGGTGCTTTTTGGGATGAATTAATATTTAATTGTTCATATTGCTGTTGTTTTGTTTTGCTCCAGTGCTCCAATGGACACCAACCTGCTAAGTAACATTCACAAACTATTTTCCGAGAGGATTGATATCTTTAGTCCAGTGGAGTTCAACAAGGTTGAAAACAACATGCTGTTCACTAACTATTGTTATTCTAATTTAAACTGACAACCTTTTATGACCAGTTTTATTTCTCATCCTAGGTCTCTGTGCTAACTGGCATCATTAAGATAAGTCTGAAGACGTTCCTCGAATGTGTACGTCTCCGTACATTTGGCAGATACGGACTGCAGCAAATCCAGGTGGACTGCCACTACTTGCAGATGTACTTGTGGCGCTTCGTGTCTGATGAGAACTTGGTGCACTTCTTGTTGGATGAGATTGTGGGTAGTGCTGCCCACCGTTGCCTTGACCCTTTGCCAATGGAGCAAAGTGTCATTGAAGTCATCTGTGAGAGGGGATAGAGTGGGCACATTCGCTCACCTTTTCTCCTAAACATTCAATCCTGAACTGGCAGACAATATTAATGCATCGACTACTGAAAAACTGCAAATATAAGCATCAATTTAGATTATCACATAAAAATTATATAAAGTCACTGATGTCAGGGAAGATCTGGATTGAGATCCTAACTTTACCATACATTTTTAAGAATTGAGTGTGTGGATTGATTTGAGATTCAGAAAATAAACTAAAAAATTAACTTACATCAGATCACTATATTAATGGGTAACGTCTCAATATGAATGTTCTTTTACGGTTGATTTCTGTAATGTATACTGTGAAGGCTGTTCGGACTGCATAACTGGATGGTATTTAATAAACTTAATGTACAAAACAGCTTCGCATCCCAAAGCTTCTTCAGACTAGAAACCAAACCCGTAGCCACATCTTTGCTGACAGTCATATGAAGCCAGCGAATGCTCTCTCCCGATTGGTCAATAGGACATTAGGGGCGGGCTCAGTAGCTTCTCTATAATTCTGATTGGTTCCTATGCTGTCTCTCCTCACTCTTCTGATGGCAGCAGTATGTGCTGATTGGTCAGATACAGTGAGGCAAACAGCGCGTTATGGGCGAATCTACGCAGGCGTCTCGGTCATTTACAGTGATGATGAGCGATAACAATACAGTACAACAGTGACTTCATGAGAACAGAGGTAAGAGAAAAACGCTGTTTATTTTTTGCATATAATATTGTTAACGTTACGACATGGTTATTTGTTTGGTTAACCTAAGTGTGAATGTTGCCAGCGCGTATTACAATAACTAACGTTACTTCAGTAAACACATTTGAATAATACCTACAGAAATTTGAATAATACTTTCTTGTAACGTAACGTTACCCTGTAAATGTTTTGTCAGCTTTGCTAAATGCTGTGTTTCACTCCATCTTTGTCCCAAACAGGCAAAATGAAGCCTAACAAGCACAAAGCATCACATTCAGCTGAAAGGGAATTTGGAGGTGCTCTTGGTGAGCCATTGTTTATTCTATAACGTTATATGCTAATGTTAGTGTGTGTGTGCTACTGTGTGATTATATGAGATGTTTGTCTATAATTTGTGTTCATTCTTGTCCTCCTCACCTGTCCAGGTGCCACCTGCATCCCAGTGTTCCTGCCTCTGACAGTTCTGTACCTGCTCAGTGTGTGCCGGTCTCCAGCTGCCAGTGTCCTGCAGTGGCCTCCTCCTCTACCACCTGCTACACATTTATGGGATCCTTGGGCTGCTGTTCTTATTGCAGGTTGGATTGCCCTGCAGAGTTTTCTCTACCTACTGCCTATAGGGAAGGTAAGATTTTTGATCTGTTTTTTTTTTCTCTTTCATTTTTTGATCATTGTAATAGAAGAGAGTATTGTAAGAAGAGAGAATTGTGTGCCATGTGATTTATTTGTTGACAGGTTTCTGAAGGTTTGGTTCTCAGAGATGGATCCAGACTGAAATATCCCATTAATGGTAATATATGACTACGTTTTTATTTCTGAAAAACGCTAATAATGGTTATTGTGTTATAATAAATGGTGAACTTGTATTTTCTTTGTGTTTTTGACCCAAATGAAACAGAGCAGTCTTTGACCCCTTGTCCTTGGTTTTACCACCTGTTGTACACAAAGTAAAGTTCAAACTCCAGTTGTCATTAATCTGCAGTATACTTCTATATCTGCATTGTGCTTCAGTTTATTGAAGGCATTGTGTTGTTTAATAATATAAAGCATATATTAAAGTTTCAAGCCCTCACTATGTGCATTAAAAGGATAATAAATAGGATAATAAAAGGAAGAAAAACATATATGTTTATTAGGTAAAGCTTGACTGCTTGGTTTAAATGGTTTAAATAAACAAGAGAAACAAATTTTCATCTACACTTTTTTTAAACATTTTTTTGAAAGAAGTGTTACATTTATTCTATTATATACATTTATATTCCCATTTATTCGCCAAGCAAAATTTTCATCATTACTTTAGTGTTCAGTGTCACGTTATTGTAATTTAGTCATTTTTGGTGCTCAGGAAACATTTCCTAATACTTTTCAATACTGCAAATTGTTTTGTAGGAAATATTAAAAACCAAAAAATAAAACCATGACCTCAAATGTTTGAAACCTGGTGTGTATGTGCAGATTTGATCGTGTTTCCTTTTTTTTTTATCTTTATTTTTCAGGTTTCCATGCCCTGAGCATTACTGCTGTTCTGTTGATCATATGTATTTTGCTGGGAATGCCACTCGGGCACCTGTTTGAGCTCATTTTGCCTCTGGCTATATGTGCCATTGGAGTTTCCTATCTGCTGTCAATGTATCTGTACATCCGCTCCTTCTGGGCACATCAACATGCTTTATCACTTGGGGGAAACACAGGTGAGATAATGTCTTGGTATTTAGAGATGAATATGATTATCCATGAGTAACATTCCATTTTGCGTACACCTGAGCTTAATTCAAAATCTTTTCAGAAACATTTTTATTTAGCAGACAATTTAATCCAAAGCTACAAATGAGAACAACACTGACAATTCTACTTCATGTCTCTTTAAAACATTTGTAAATTCAGTTTCGCTCTCATTTGCAGGAAATCCTCTGTATGACTTCTTCATGGGTCGAGAGCTCAACCCTCGCATTGGAAACTTTGACTTGAAATATTTCTGTGAACTAAGACCTGGATTAATAGGCTGGGTAAGACTCTCACCAGATATTTACATCCACATACAATATATATTTTTATTGTTTTCAGAAAGAATTGTCGTGTGCTCACTGCTCAGCCAGGCTCCATTTATTTGATCAAAACATTTTGAACTATTTTTTTTCTAAATAAAAGTATAAACTATTTTTTTTAATGTAAATTATTCCTGTGGTTCCAAAGCTGAATTTTCAGCAGCCATTACACTAGTATTCAGTGTCACATGATCATTCATAATTTGACACTGTGGCCATGTTTACACCGTTTACAGATTTCAGTTTAGTTTGCATTAACTCTGGGTTTTAGGTACCATGATGGTAGCTCAGTGCAACTGCTTCATAAAACCACGGGAACAAAGAGTGATTAAAGTCGAGCTGCCTTTTTAGGTAAAACCCATTATTGGTGCAAACTAAACTGGCTAGCCAGCTAATATAGCTTCATGTACAGGCCTCTGGTATTCAGATGTTTTGTTTATTGGTTCACAAGTAAATGAGCAAAAACAGATTTCCATTTACACCTAACATTTTAACACATTTCTTACGTCCAGATATATAATTATTTTTATTTTTTAGGTGGAGGGTCTGAGCACTATGAAAGCATCCAGTAAAATAAATTTTTGACTGCTTCTGGAAGACCCTATTTGCAAGTTGTATTAATTGGATAGTTCATCCAAAAATTAAAAATCTCACAATTTAAACACACAGGTGGTTCTAAACTTGTATTTCCTTTCTCTTTTAAACACAAAACAAGATATTCTGAAGAATATTGAAAAAAAAAGTCATTGTCATCCCTAATAGGAACCAAAATAATTTGTAAGTGGATGGCTGTTTTTCCCCCAGATTTTTCAGTATACTTATTTGTGTTGAAAAGAAGAAAGAAGCTCAAGCAGGTTTGAAACAAGTGGAGGATGCATAAATAATGACAATTTTCATTTTGGGGGTGAACTTCCTTTTTAAGATGCTTTTTGTGTCATTCTAATCAGAAGTGGATGACAATAAGGTGTCATTTACAGGGAGAGTTGCGACAATGAAAGTCTAAAGTGTTCAATCATCACATGATTCATGTAGACTCAAATAGTTCCAGGGATGGCTGTGTGGTTAAATCAAATAATGTTTGATAACGTTAAAACATACACTAATTTATTTTAAGAAAATTCGTACCTTTCAAACGTGCAAAACCAGCCATCTTCAACAGTAACCCAGCTGTAAGTGCTAACTTTGAGGAGCTAGTGGGAGGCTCTATGAGCTGCCATTGCTGTTCCATTGTGGTCAATAGAATTGTCACATCTTTCTGTCTCTGGTTTACAGTGCATTTTTGTTTTCAAATACATACCTTTAGTTACAGATATGCTTTCATTCTAAAGTAGCATTTTAAAACAAAAATGCACTAGTGTAAAAGACACCTAACGACTGTTGTAAATAGGCTGAAAGGTTTTTAGCTTGTCCACTTTTAACCACTTTCAAATGTAGTTAAAAACACATTTGATTGGATTGTTTTCACTCATGGGGTTAAATGCTTTCAAACAGCCTCTAAATACAACATTCTCTTTCTGTAGATCTAATTCATAAACTTTGGGATACAAAAATTGTTGCATAATTTATGAAGTATTGCTTTCCAACAACTTCTATGTTAAGCTGCTTTGACATAATCTAATTGTAAAAGCGCTATATAAATAAACATGATTAGAATTGAACTAGATTCTAACACAGACCCATAGGAATTGACGTAATGTAATTATTTGATCCGATCAACCAAATTGTATCTGTTGTGTTTCAGGTGGTCATAAACCTAGGGATGCTAATGAAAGAAGTAGAGCTGCGCGACTCTCCATCTCTTGCCATGCTGCTCGTCAATGGATTTCAGCTCCTCTACGTGACAGATGCTCTCTGGAATGAAGTAGGAGAATCTAGTGTCGTCTGCAAACCTATGAAATGTTTAATTAAACAAGTGGAAATGGTGTTAAATCATTCCTTGTGTCTGCAGGAGGCCGTTCTTACTACAATGGATATTGTGCATGATGGATTTGGGTTCATGTTGGCGTTTGGTGATCTGGCCTGGGTTCCCTTCACGTATAGTCTTCAGGCCATGTTTCTGGTTGTTCACCCACAGTCACTTAGTACTCTTGGTGCCGTGGGGATTGTGCTTCTAAATGGTAACCAACATCCTGTTTTGTAGCCATGTTGATTCTTTATGTTTTCTAACTCTCCTTTCTATATTTCACAGGAATTGGCTATTACATTTTCAGGAGGTCCAACTCTCAGAAAAATCAGTTCAGAAGAGACCCCAAGCATAAAAGTGTAGCACGTCAGTAATCACTACTTTACTTTGCAGTGATTTTTGTTTTTGAACTTTGGATAAAATTAAGAGGCAATTTTAGGAAAACTATTTTAGTTTTTTGTTGTTGCTCTATTCTGTGAACTGAAATTTCTTCTAGATTTGAAATAGAAATGTTGGCATTTAAGAATTTTGTTCTTGCAGACCTGGAAACTATCGCGACAGCAACAGGAAAGCGGCTGTTGGTATCAGGATGGTGGGGTTTTGTCAGACATCCAAACTACCTGGGTGACCTTCTGATGGCCCTAGCCTGGTCCCTGCCTTGTGGTGAGTAAACCATATTTAATTATAACTTGCATATGATTAAAGTGTTCTAGTCACATACTGATTATTTATTTATTTTTTTTCAAATACAGCATTAATTATGATTTTTACTTTTACAATGTGTTTGAACTTTTCTTGGTGTCCTACATTTTAATAATTAATTGAATTAAACTAAAATCTAGTGGACTGTCCTGACTGCAGAAGGCTTTTTTATGAAATGAACTCGCTCGAGGATGTATTCAACAAAGGAAAAGAACGATTGTTTTAATAATTTATTAACATAAAAAATCTTACCCAATTTATGTATTCATATATCTGTGTGTCTTTAATTATATATTTATTAATTAAATATTTTTGCGATGAAAATAGCAATTGTTGCTGACATGGCATTAAATAAAATGCTGTAACCTGCTGGACAGTTGGAGAAGGAGTTAAACTAATTCAATCATTTTATAAAAAGGGCAGGTTCTGTTGTGGCGTGTTTACAACAATTAATTCTTCCACAATTTCTTCACAGGAATATCCCACATTCTGCCTTACTTCTACGTCATATATTTCACTATTCTGCTCATCCACCGAGAAGCCAGAGATGAGAAACAATGCCGAGCCAAATACGGAGTGGCCTGGGACACTTACTGCAGACGAGTGCCCTACAGAATAATCCCCTATGTTTATTAATGTGGACTGATGTGCTCTGAATGTCCAGCAGACTTTTATTTAGGTGAGGAAATGGACGCAACATCATCAATGGACAGCCAACATTACAAAATGTATTGCGTATTGTTTTTATTTGCATTAGAACCAAACATTTTCTTTTTTTTTATATATATATATTCTTGTATTATATTATTAAAGAGCATTTTAATATTGCTTTTAGACTGTAACATTATTGACATTCAACAACATATAGTGGTAATACTTTACAGGTTACATTTATTAACTTTAGGTAATGGCATTAGGTAAAAAATGTTTTAGAGGCGATGATGTGATAAACTGATTGATTTGTGACAAGATTGAATCAAAAAAAAATTACCCAATATCCGTTTGGTTAATTTGTTTCTAATTCTATGCAAAATATTTAATAACACGTTAAGTTTATATAAGGTTACATTTGAAATTAAATATTGTACTATAAATCTTAAATAGCAAGTTTCTCAAGGGGAGGGTGTAATTTTATATTTAAAAAAATATAAACTAATTTAAAGTAAAAAAAAATATATTGAATTTTTTTTTTTAGAAATGTCCGTCCCTCAAGGTTTCATATTTGGTGTACGTGTTAAAGGTGATTATATGACTGAAATGGATTGATTTGTGACAGGAGATTTCATTTTTTTAAATGCAGTAAATTTAGGGTGTAACCTCTGGCTATTCATGGTAAAGTGCATATCATCTTTACCTCGATTTTGGTGAAATCTACTTCAAATATGATTCAATGCTAGCTTAAATTTTATATTCCAAACATTTTAATAATATATAAAAAAATAACATTAAAAACTATTTCACATATTCCTTTGCAATTTAATTGTATAAAATTAATTAACTTCAGCAATAACCTGCAGAGAGTTTTCATTAAAAGAAGATCAGGGGCCTGTTTCAGTAAGGAGGTTCAAACAACTCAGAGTTTAAACTTGAACTCTGAGTTGATTTACCGAGAGATTAAAAACTCGGTTTCAGAACAGCTGATCTGAGTTGGGTCAATCAACTTCGAGTAGACCAACTCTGAGTTAAGCGCGAGCACCGTGACTTTAAAAAGGCATTATCAATGGAGCGCAGACATTACGAGTGACCATGGCAACATCTTATAAAAGAGATCACCATTTCTTTCTCCAGCTGAACTTGATGTTCTCATGCAAAGTTATAGCAAATATGAGTGTGTATATATTTGAAAAGAAGCAACCATCAGTGAAGAAGAGACAGTTAGCGTGGGAAAACAGCTGCTCAAGTTAATGCCTAATTTCACTTTTTAAGTATTTAAATATTTAAGTATAATAAAATAAGTAATGTAATTTGTGACGTTTATATTTTCTTTCTAAACTTTTTTATACATTTATTAGTTTTAAATGATTTAACAGTGCACTTGTGTGTCTGCCTTATTATTGATCAAGTGATAGAGGTTAATATAACATTTAGAAGGTAAGCAGTACTAAAAATAATTTTTAGAAAGAATAATAATCCCATTAATCTAGTTACAGTGCATGTCGAAGGTGAATTTAATTTAATTATTTATTAAAAAAGGATAAGCCATTCTAGTACAGTTCTTCTGTGTGTGACTAAAATGTAGGCAATAGCTATGTTTCCATCCAAATATATTACATAAATTTATGTGCAAAACTGGAATATTGCATAAAAGATGCGAATAAAATTCCATCCAACGAGTCAAAGAGAAAAAAATCGTCACTTCCTGATTAAACTGGCACCAAATATCAACAGTAAAAACAGAAATTACTGTGGTAGAAGAAGCTGCGTCAATTAATTCTTTATTTAGCCAAATTAATGTACTTGCGCCTCGATGTCAGAAGACAATGCTGAAACACAATGAACACGTGGGGGCGTCTGAAGGCATGAGACGCGGAGACTCTTGACACGCACCAGACATTCGGAGGTAATTAATAATATACACTAATACTGAAACAGTTAAGGCATTTTAGAATGACTAAAACAATATTTAAGACATGTTATAGTGTGCCCAGCCTGCTGGTTTGTTCATTTACACACATTTTCATTATCATATGATCATGATCTTTTTTTTAATGTACATACTGTAATTTGTTCAGTAAAAGGGTTTCCATCGTAGTTTATGCGCACATTTTCTATCGAATAAAAGTTTATCCTACTCAGTTATGCACGTTTTTTATGCATATTTTAAAACGTTATGTGCATCATGACATTTCTATCAATCGTTTTTATGCACGTATCCAAAATGAGCATTAAAATAGGTGGGTGGAAACGTAAGGCTAAGGCGAGAAATACCGCTTCATCTTTAAAAAAGGGGGGGAGACCGACAGAAACTCTGAGTTTAGAGAATAAAACCTGCTTCTGACCAGGTTAGATTCACAGAGTAAGTTACCACAGTAACTGACTCTGAGTTAAAGTTACCTTTCTTTCAGAAACAGGCTTGACTTACCCTGCTTTCTCGAGTTTAACAAACCTGCCATTTTGAAACGGAAAACCCAGAGTTTCTCTCATTACAGGGTTAAAATACTCTGAGTTTTCAGTTAACCTCCTTTCTGAAACAGGCCCCAGGTCTGTATTTCAAAGCAATGATATTTTTTCACCTCTTAAGTTCCAAGTTATTAATTAGCATTACCAAAAATTGCTGTAACACTTTAAAACAAGATTCCATTAGTAAACATTAGCATATTTACAAACATAGATTAAGAATAAACAATACTTGAATAACATCTATTATTCATAGTTAATGTTAACTTCAACATACTAATGCATTATGAAAATCCAAAGTTGTTTTTGTAATATTCAGGGTTTAGGGATTTTTTCTTCTGGCCTGATTTTTACTTGCCCTGCCAAAATTTTTACTGGCAATTTTCATTTCACCAAAAAAAAAAAAAGTTAATAGCTATTTCTTAGCCACACATGTTAAATATGTTTTATAATATATCTGCCTTAATGTTATTCAGAACATCTTCTCAAAGATCCTCAAAAATTACGTCTTTATTTAAAAATATTTAAATACTTTACAAATGTTAATAAATTTATAATGAGCAAAATTCAAAGTGCTGTCACTTTTATCGTGAGTTTTGAAGTTTTGATTTCATTAATTGCTTGTTGAAAAAGGCTCCTGACTTGTCTGCTTTTCCTGGAAACTGACGGCAAACTGCAAAAATGTTTTCGTTGTGTTGTACTCACGGAAATGTCTGCTTCCAAGATGTTGGAAACAGGCATTTACTTTTAGCCTCATAATTTGACGTAGCCTTATCTTGGTTGTACTTGTTGTTACAGAAAAAACAGTTTACAGAAAAAAAAACATGCTCGCAACATCCAATCAGATATGAGGAACCGAAAAGCAGTATGGTGTTTATGATTTGACAGAGAAGGTAACATTTATAGGCTTAAAAGCACAAACTGTTTCTCGATTCTACGATTGTATTTGCACGCAATTGACAAATAGTCGCAGACAAATTAAACTTTAGTGACAAGGCAGCACTGACCTAATCAAGCCAAGAACGACCCTGACTACTGTCCTTTAGGGTCTCGCACGCTGGCCCCGGGCCATCCGGCAGTCCTTAGTGCATTAACTAATATCAGGGCTCAACAATAAGTTAGCAACAACTAACAATGAAGCATATTTTTATTTAACTAATGTTAAAGATGATTAAATATTACAGTTACTGTATCGTTCATCGTTTGATCAAATCAGCTAATACACACTGTAAAAAAGTCTTGGTTCCACACTATGCTTGTGTTGCCCCAACACAAATTGAATTAAGTTAGCTTATTAGTTTTTACAAATATAAGTGGATTGAACATAAAACAATTAAGTTGTTCCCAAAAAAACTCAACAATTGTGTTGTTAGAGCTCATTTTAAATAAGTAGTTTGAACAAATGGCAAACGGCATTTTTAAATGCAGCAACATTACCTGGAACCTTATTTTAAACTGTTACTAAATTAATTAAATATTGTAATAAAAGCATTGCTCGTTAACTTCTGTCAACTAACGATACCTTGCTGTAAACCGCTACCCATGTAATAACCCACTTTTAAAAAAATGGCATTAGGAACGAATGCTTTCATGAACAATTTCTTTACTTTAAACAATCACACATCACAATCTCACTCAACCTCTTCTATCAGTGCACCTTTACCTCTACTTTTCCCCCGTGCTTCGTCCAGCAGTTTCCTGTCCTCTTCTAATGTCTCTCTCTCCACCTCCCTTCTCTCAAAGTCCGTCCACACACTTCCAGCCAATCTCCTCAAAACCTCAGGATTCTCCTTCACCCAAGACTGAAAGAACTCGCACTTCTTTCCAGCTTGAAAAAAACCCTGTCTCATCCTCTCGTCATCATCTGTAGCAGCAGCCATCTTTGCCTTGCTCAATGCCGAGCGCACCTGCGACAAAGCAGACAGTGTGTATCCCTCAGCGTCCTCTCTGCTCCGTCCCGTCAACACATGAGCCACCGCTTCCACAGCTCGAATAGGAGCTGAAGAGTCTTCTCTGTCGAAATATCCACCAGCAGATACAGATCTAATCCCAGCATCAAGAGCCTCCGGGACAGAGTTAAAGACCCGTCCAGCACCCAAGAACTCTGAAATGGAAACCAGCGCCTGACTAAACTCCAGCAATGTGTCGGAAATATCTCCATTGAAGAGACACAGAGAGAAAGTGTATCCGTAAAGAGCGTTGATCAGATTGAACTGCACTAGAGGAGACGGATTTGATGTTAGCCTGTGAAGAGGGGGGATTTTAGCACTTATTGGAGGAACTGCTGATTGTTTAGCATCGCTAGCAACTTTTTGGGGTTTTCCTTTTTTCGCAGTGCGCACTTCTACTTGATTTTCAAAGCGAAGTTCTTCAATCAGGGTTTTAGTTTCTTTCTCATGTTGCTCCCACCAGGGTCTCCACAGGACAACCATCCCAGCGATGCCACCAACTTTTAGCAGATTCTCAAATTTCTCCTTCTCCTGGGTGGACAACAATGACCAGAGCTGCTCTTCAGAAAGAGAATCAACATCCAATCCAGCTAACTTCTCAGCTAAATCTTCATCATCATCATCATCATCATCATCGGCTTCCTCAAGTTTTGCCAGGATTTCTTGTGCCTCGTGACTGTTTTCATCTCCACCAGACTGAAGCTCTGCCAACTTGCAAAGCAGATCCAAAGCCTGTGCGTCTCCTTCAGTCACATTGGTTCCATCTAAGTGTCCTAAGAAGTTCTGCATCCCGCCCTCAGTGTCTGCGCTCTGTCTGAGCCGGAGGAGGATCTCCTGCATCTTGCTCTTCCCCTCTTCATCTGTGGCTCCTCTGGATTTGAGCTCCTGGAGCACAGACTCCTTGTAAAACTCCTCCGAGCATTTGGAGTGACTCTGACTCTTGTAACAAGCTAAACCGCAATACGGGATGTTGCACCTTGGGCAGGTGTAAGAAGACGGTTTTATTAAGCAAAGTCCACATGGTTTGATTGATGAGGGATTTCCGTCTGTGGTTGCCCCTTCTGTACTGTTGGCAGGGGTGAGGAGAGTTTCAGAAGTGCCTCTCTTGGGGAGTGCGATCCCATCTTTGCTGGTAATTGATTCAGAGTGTGTTTCTGGCCAGTCGCTCAGGTTTTCCTCCTGCTTTGGTGTGATGTCGGTGAGTAACGAACGAACACACGCAGGGATTTTACGTCTGACAACAGGATCCATGAGAAGCTCATTCACTGATGTGTTTGTGTAGCGGTAATGATCTGCAAATTAAACAGATAAAAGCATGTGTAACCACAAACTATGACAGATATTTAATTTACAGATACTTAAAGGAGCAAATCTTTGTGAATATTTAAGGACAGACATACATTTGTTTAAACTTAATCATGTTTAGCACTTTTCACATCGCGGTCAATTTTTTTTTTTTTTCTTCGAATTATCTCTTAAGTCAGGGGTTCCCAAAATGTTCAGCCTGCAACCCCCAAAATAACAATGCCAGTGACTCGCGACCCCCACATTTCTTGGAGGTGGTTATAAATATACAAATATTACACACACAAACATAGGCCTATATAAACACGAGCACAGTGACAACACAAAAAGTGCAACAATCTAACATATAATTTTATATAGTCATTTATTTGTTTAATTTAATATCAATCTCACCTAATGAGACAGTTGGACACAATGTTTGCAGCACAATTCGGATCTTGGTTTAATTTTGGAGAGCGCCAATCATTGATTATCCTCAATGTTCAGTTGTGGCCTGTATTTATTCTTAATGTATTTGAATGCCATGAAGGCTTCAGAAAATGTAACCAGGTACTATAAAATCAATCTGCGGCAGCTGACACTATTGCTGTGTTGTTAATCTAACATTGGCTTTACAATTGCATGTTGTTTTTTATGTGACTATTACCTACTAATATTACACTCTGCGAGTTATGGATAAAATATGCTAATTCTAATAGTTTACTGTAAATGACCCCGTCATTGTCTGCAACACCCACTTTGGGAACCACAGTATTAAATTACATTAGTTTTAAATACATTAGTATTTAAAACTTTAACACAATTAATTATGATCATTTTTCAGAGAAACATTTTTTTTGTTAGTACTGAATATGAAGGGTTTTTGTACATTTGAATTTTGAAGGAAAACGAGTTATAAATTCAGAGGGATTTATTTAAATTCTCCTTAGTTTAAAACTTTATAAACACGTTAAAATGTACAATGTTAGCAATGTATTAACGGTTTTATAAAATAACAGTTCTTCCAACAAAAACGGAGTCGGCATGTAAAAATAACACTACATAAGATAATAGTAGATTTTGAATGCATTATGAGGGTTTCTAAGTCTAAACGTTCATTAAACCACACCAGATTCAGATTATTTACACAATAACACTATTCCCAATAAACGGTAGGTTTGTATTCTTTAACTTACCTTGATGAGTGCATAGGTACCGTTCCCAGACACATTCGGAGAATGAAAAAAATGTAAGGATATTTTCAACAACGCGTGTTTATAAATATGCTTTTAGACCGCCGTACACGATAGAATGACGTTACTCGTCGCAAGTTGATGACGCATACCTTCCTTTGCTCTTCAACCGGCGGGGCTGCTCAATATTTACGCAGTAGATCAAATGATAAAGCTGCTAAAGTAGCTACTTTTTTTCAGGGAATGTTGTACCCCTCAGCCCTATGCTATAACCTCTTCACAACCCTTTGAAGGTTTATATTTTATATAGTTTTATAATTTATTTATTTGTATTTTTATATTTTTAATTTTATTTATTTCCTTTTTTTGTTTCCTATATTCGTGTCTGCCAATTGTTGTAATTGTATAACTTCATGCTTGTTTATGTATGAAAGGCCCAATTAGTATATTTCATTCATTCTCTTTTGGGTTGCAGCTGGAAGGACATGCCCTGCATAAACACTCTGGATAAGTTGGCGGTTCATTCCGCTGTGGCGACCCCAGATTAATAAAGAGACTAAGTCGAAAAGAAAATGAATGAATGAAAGAATATATATACATATATATGTTTTTGCAGTAGATGGGTAAAATTATGTATTTACAGATTTTTATAAAGCAAATCAAAATTAAGGAATTAAAAAGTTATGAAACAATGATTTCCGTAATAACTGTAAGTTGGATGTATTTTGTAATTGTACTGATTCAGTTATAGTTGTGGTGTAAATCGGTGGTTCCCAAAGTGGGTGTACAATGACAGGGGGTCCCTTGGTGATTTCCAACAGGAAAATACATTTTATTAAACTATTAAAATTAGCATGTTTTATCCATAACCCACAGAGGTTAATAACAGTAGTTAATGGTTACATAAAAAACAACAACATGCAAATGTAATATTATCAGTCTTTCATGTATGTTTTTCATAGGACTGGTGTGTTTGCGTTAGATTAACAGCACAGCAATAGTGTCAGCAGCTGCAGATTGATTTTATAGCACCAGGTTCAACTTTCTGACACCTTTATGGCATTCAAATACATTGAAAATAAATACAGGCCAGAACTGAACATCGAGCATGATCACTGATTTGCAGTGTCTTAAATTAAACCAAGAACAGACTTGTGCTGAAAACATTGTGTCCACTAGTCTCATTAGTTGAGGTTAATATTAAATTAAACAAATAATAAATGACAATATAAATATTATGATTATTAGATTGTTGCACTTTTTGTGTTGTCAATGTGCTCGTGTTTATATAGGCCTATTGTTTTGTGTGCAATGTCTGTATATTTATAACCACCTCCAAGAAATGTGGGGGTCGCGAGTCACTGGCATTGTTATTTTGGGGGTCGCAGGCTGAAAAGTTTGGGAACTCCTGGTATAAGTAACAGGAAGGCTATTGAGGAAATTTTTTTAGATCAAAATGTATGTTTTGGTTTCACTGACTATCCTCAAGATCAAGCACGCCTTCATTAGCTTTTATTTTCAGATCAAATTTCACATTCGTAAATGCTGTAAAAGTTTTTATGCAAAAATAACTTTGATTTTAATGTTGGAAAGGTCTACATCGGTCATTATTAGAGACTCTTCAGTTCTTTAAAGATTTAATTGCATTTTCCTCTTTGTCCCCTCTATTACAGATTTATAATGTTTATCATTTACTCTGAATTTGCATGTTTTATAATAATAATTATTCAATAATAAAATTTAATGTACAGAAAGAATCAAAACATTTTTCTTTTCAGACAAGTATTATGAACAGACATTGTTGGCAATATTTTACATTTATTTCTTTCAAATGCAAACAAAAGCACCTGATAAATGAACATGCTTGCTGTAAGTATTACCTTTTTAATACAAAGGTAACACAGTCTCTGAAAATGGTATGTTAGTGACAGTTTACAGTTTGTCCGTCTGTTTGAGCAGGAGACAGCATTATTATAGATTTCCTCCTCACTTTTTCAGTATTGCAGTTCAGTTCATTTAAAATCCCTTGTTCAGCAGCCAGTCCTTCAGCTCTTTATCAAACTGCCCTTTAACTCGGATGCTCCCGGTAATTTCATTGACTTGTGTTGGAGGGTCTTTGCCTGTAAGCTCCAGCAGGAATTCCTTAACTTCCTTATTCAGGGCCTGGAAATGATGAATATAGAGTTAACAGAATCATTTGGAGCATTGTACACTTACAGTACTTTTAAGGCCATGTGTAGCACTCACCCATATGTCTCCTTCAATCTTCCTGATCAGAGTGCTGTGCTGATTCCCATGCTTGATGTCTGAGTACACGGGTACGTTGTGCATCCTGGAGCGACGGATCATGTAAGGCAGTGACGGTGGTGTGTCTGTGTAAACATTAAATAAATGACACTCTATCAGGCTGTTCACACTGCACTTGACCCTGGGTTATCATCGTTTCATAAACTATATTTACTTCTGCTTAAAGGAAATTTTACCACTGCTTAAAACCCAGGGTCAGGTAATGTTACCAAACATATGTAATTATGCAGTGTTATATACCAGTATCAGGTCGATACTTAAAATACTTTATAAAAAAATGCTCACTCATATCATACATGAAATGCTGATTTCACGAATCGATACCTCTCAATAGTAATACACTACATGGATGGGATTAGTTGTCCTACCTGACTTCAATGTCTTAATGTACTAATTAATGTATTAAATATTAGTAGCTTAGTCTTTATAAACAATCCATTTATAAAATACATTATTAACGAGTCTATCGGCTACTAAAGAATAAACCGAATCCGCAATATTATCCTTGTATAATGATCACACGGAAACAAGCTAGCGTTTATTTTCATCGTCATTTAAATGCCCATGCTTAATCGGTATTCGATAAGGGCTATGGATTTACAGGGTTATCAACAATGTGTGTATAGTTTTGGCTTGGAATAGCTTTCTGTTAAAGATTTAAAAAACCTTTCAAATTAATTGCACTTTCATTGAAATCAAATCTGAGAAGTATCAGAATCAGTACTCGGTATCAAAGAGTAAACAAATGAAAATACTCGTATCAGTTTGTAAAAAGTTGTATCGATTTATCCCTAGTTAGAATGTGACAGCAAGCAGCCATAGCTTAGGCACATGATTGGCTGTCAGTCGCTCATAATAAAGTTATTTAAGCAATCATGAAAACACACACACATCTTCATAAAATCAAGTGCATTCAGTAATTATAGATTTAGTATTTATAGATTTAGGAAAATAGGTCCAAACATTTTTATTATTTATTTGTATTATTATTTATATTTATATATATATAATGCAGTTTTGCAAACCCCTTTGATTGACCTAAAATATTTACTTTACCTAAAAGTTTGAACTTAAGAATTCAATACATTTACATGTCCAGGGTTGTCTGACATTCACATGATATTTAGGTAAAGAAATAAAACATTTAATTTTGTACCTAATTTGTGTTTTATTTGATTACAAATAATCTAATTGACTATATTATATTTATTTACTTTAATTGTACATTGTCATGATGAAGTCTTTTAAGGGACTTACAAAAACCAATTTGGAATAAAAAATTGTTGACAAAACAACATGTTACATTTCTTTATAAATGTATATTTGAATCTTTATTTCAATTCTATCTGTCTATCCGTCAATCATCCATCCATCTATCTATCTATTTATACTTTTTCCAACTGTTTTAAACTAAAACTATTACCAACAGTCTTTTAAGCCAGCCTCAAAGTTTGTCGCAACAAACTTTAATCATCTAGTTTACTTTAATGTTTTATATGTACTTTAATTTTACATTTCCATGATAATATTGTCCTTTTAGGGACTAACAAACACCAATTTGGGAAAAAAAAATGTTGTTGACAAAACAATGTGTTACATTTGTTTTTAATTTTATACTTTAATCTGTAATCAAGAAAACATTGATCACTTCTTTATTTGTAGTAAGTACTGGGCTATAAAAAGTCCTCTGAATGTAAGCAGTGAATGTAAGAAGCACAAATCTAAAGCCTTTATGTAAACATGCTATATTCATCCAAACAATAATGTAAACAATGACATATAAGCCTGGGTTAAGATTGTATAGACCAGAACAACTATTTAAAAATTTCCAGGATTAAATGTTAACCCTGGGTAGAGTACGAGCAGTGTGAAGGGGAAATGTAAAAGAAGAAAACCAAGGGCTCTCTTTATCCAGGTTTAGCATAACATATGTTGGACAATTAAATGTCCTCATTAAAAGCTCTCAAGGTTTAAAGACTATATTAATTATTCCTATTACAACTCTAGCGTGTTTACCTGACGGTGGGGTCCATCCTGAAGGCGCAGGTCCATCGTGTTTAGGAGGAGCTGGGATGCGTGAAGGGGGAATTAATCTCTCCACAAACCTGAACTCTTCTGTGGACTCAATGATGTCCCTCGATCCATCAGCAGGCCTGATTTCGGTCTGAAAGGACACAACCCGTCTTAATATAACACAACTTTGGGTTTTAACATCAAGCTTGCATGACTGTCTGTTGTGACAAAAACAGTCCTGTGACATCTCAAGAACAAATCATACACTGCAAATCTACGAGTGGCATCTAATGCACCATAAATTATTAAGCAACATGGAAAGATTATGAAGCAAAATAGAGTGTTATACTAACTCGTAAGCAATATCCAGTGCTCAGTGGACGTGTGGCTGGATTAAAAGCTCTGAAAGCGACTCTAGCAGCCCGGCAGAAAGTCAAAGACATGCTTCTGACAGAGGCGGACATTTTTTTTTGATACGGGAGAGAGAGAGGAAGTAAATATTACGTCACGGGTTTGGATAAAAAAAATATTGAAAGCAGAAAAACATTGATCCATAAATTAGAAGAACTCAGCAAAAACTTATTTTATTACATATTATCATGTTTTTCTTTCTTCTATGTTCCACAAAAATAAAACGCAATTCTCCAGAGGACTTTTAACTGGCATTATTAAAGTGAGCATGCGCAGAACACTTTCTAGAAAAGCGAAATACTTCAGTTCAGGCTGTTCATGTCGTGTTTTGTGCTCGTACGAATCCAAATCGATATCTGTGAGTACTCCTTTAACATTCAAGTAATGTTATAAAGATATTGTGTTGTGGTAAGGATTATGTTAAGCTAATTAAACGTTTGAATCCTCTCTGTTGTGAAGACTGACCATCATGCAGTTGTTTGTTCGCGGCCAGAGTTTGCACTCTGTTCAGCTGAATGGGTCAGAGACTGTTGCCCATATCAAGGTAACTGTTAACGTTACTTTTTTGCACGTTTTCACAAATGGTTTATTAAAAATAACTACATTTATATAATAATATGGCCTTAATGTCTTCAAATGTATCAGTTCTCGCTTTCACCTTTTATACAGATTGAATGTTAAGTTTTATTTAGTAACACTTCTCTACTTTGTTTAAAATAACAAACATTGCTAATTAGGTAATGAAAATATATTCCTTTTAATTTATCTAATGTTTCTCAACCCATTGGCAACTAGTGTTTCTTGTTATAACCATATATTTCAGTTTGAAAAATCAAGAACTGAAATGTGCAGTGGAGAGAAAATATTTGGAGGTCATGTTGAATTATTTTGTTCTGTTCAGTTTATCCTGTTAGCTCTCTCTACATTATCCTAAAATATCTTGAATTGTAATAAATTCATGTTAAAGGCATTAATAAATTCATAAAACCAACTCTGCTTATATTTCAGGCTCAGATTGAAGCTTTGGAAGGTCTCGCCTGTGACGATCAGATCATTTCTCTCAGTGGGATTCCCCTTGAGGATGACGCTCTGATCTGTCAGTCTGGGATCGAGGAGTTCAACACTCTTGAGGTCTCATCAAGGCTTTTAGGAGGTAAAAATCAACCCCCTGTGGCTTGAGATTCTCTGTTATGCTATTGTTGTAGAGACTGACCTTAATTTGCGCTGGAAAAGTCAGAAACTTTGATTTATGAATATTTAGGTCTGATATACTGCATACTTTTCATTTGGATGTTTTCATAAACACAATCTCTTCCCACCCAAAGGCAAAGTTCACGGTTCCCTGGCTAGAGCAGGAAAAGTCAGAGGACAAACTCCTAAGGTAAGACTACATATAATTGCTGTGCCCCAGTTTGCTTTATAAGTGTGTGTAACTTTTTTTTGGTGACAAAAAATTACTTATTTTTGAGTGTAGCCTCTAGTTTTGTAAAAAATTTTGACAGACTTTATGCAAATACACGCACAAAGATATTTTTAGTACTCTTTAGAATAAAATGTGTGCAAACTGAGATGCAGCAACAATCAACAATGTTTATAGTGTAGTTTTTATGTTAGCATATACTTTTCATTGACTTCATGCTCTGTTGTTGATCCTTTCAGGTGGATAAGCAGGAGAAGCGCAAGAAAAGGACCGGCCGGGCAAAGAGAAGAATTCAGTACAACAGGCGCTTTGTCAATGTTGTCCCGACGTTTGGCAAAAAGAAAGGACCAAATGCCAACTCATAATGTTTTCAATATTTGCTACATTATTGAGCATTCCTGATGGGAAGACAATATAAAATATAGTGCAATATAAAATGAGCCTGTGCACTTTGGTCTAGAATTTATATTTTGTGAGATGAAGTTTAATGTAGTGTGAAATAAAATGAAACTGTAAATCACTGGGAATCCTTAATGGTGTTTCTGGCAAGAATGAGGTTTTGTAAATTGCAAATAAAAAACATTTAATCAAAGACACTTGTCATTTGAATACGATTTAAATTCACAGCATCAACCCAATGTGGCTTTGCTGATTTAATAAAAGAGTCCATGACAATGTAGAAGATCAAGTCCAGAGTCATTTGCCTGTATCCTTCATTCCCACTCTTTCATCGATCACTAAGAGGCCTGAGGTGATCAAACCTGTGGAGGAAACAGAATAAAAAGTCAGCTTATTTCAGAGATCTTAAACCTCTACCGCATGGTGTTGCCATATGACAACATGATATTTATGTTCAATTCCCTGCCACTGTTTCTTTAAGACCAAGAGAAGACCTTAGGCTACGTTCACATTGCAAGGCTTGATGCTCAAATCAGATTTTTTTCTCAGATCTGATTGTTTTGCATGGCTGTTCACACTGTTGTTAGAAATGTGGCCAGGATCAGATTTCCAGTGTGAACAGATTATGCTCCTAAACTGACCGGCATATGCAAAATTAGTTACGGACAGTCCAAAATGTCTAATTATGCACACAATGTGTAGCTATACTGTAGTATGTGATCAAATAATGCCTAATGTGATTATTGACCTTTTAACAAACAACAATGGTGTATTTCATGTAAAGGGTTGTTCTGCTACTACTAATTTGTATTTCACCATTTGAAACCTGCAATAAGTCTCTTGTGATTGAAAATACTGATCATTTGTGATTTATGACAACCACGGCGTGAGTCTATCTGACCATGGGTGTGATGAATAGGCATGGGAAGAGAACCGCGGTTTGGAAAAGACAAGGTTTTAAATCCGCCAAAATATTCTGCTATACTGTTCCTAAGATTTAAAAAATGTGATTTTTTGTTTGTTTGTTTTGTTTTTTAGGACAACTGTATTTCCAGCAGAAATGATTTCCAAAAATGTATTTTTAAATTGCAAAATAATCAGTGTTTGTGAAACTAATGAAGACAGGAGAAGTTAATGATTCATTTGAATTGTTTAGCCTAACATGGTTTACTGCTCCAAAATATTATAAATGTTTCACAAAATAAAATATTTTGTGTTCAAAGGGGAAAAAGTAGTTTTTTTTTACCCAGACATTTTAAAATAATATATTTTAGAGAAGTAATTACAATACCGTGAAAACGTGATATTATATCCAAGGTTATAATACTGTTAGAATCGTATACAGGCCCTTGCCTAGTGGTGAACTCAAGGGTTAATGAGCAGCGGCAAATTGAACTGTGAAAGCAGAGTTTGTTTATTTTCATATTCACATCATTTTTATATCCTAGTTGTTCATATTTGGTTCTGTTAATGTATTAATTATTTAAGTGAAATTAGCTATTTTGTGTAGGTGTTTTATTCATTTTATATATGCAATTTTCATGGACAAACTTTACGTTAAATCTGAACAATATTTTTCAAAAGGTTAATGGTTAATGATTGGTTAACCAGTTTAGCATTCAAAATGAACAACCAACCTTTTGTGCTAAAGTATTAGCCCTGTGTTCTATTCTAGTATCCTGCTGAGTAGATGATGTTTGAAGCACAGAATGATGAGGCATGTCGATCTAAGATTAAGTAAAATTCACATGAAAACCTACATAACTGTTCACACTGTTGTCACATTGCAAAACATCAGATCTGTGTCTGATTTAATACCACATATGAAAGTGGTATTAAAGTTTTCACATTGTCAAGACAAAAACAGATCTGAGTCACAAAAAATAAAATAAAATTTGGGCCACATTTGCCTAGAGTGTGAACACCGCCTTAGTTTAGCCAATGATGTGCTTAGGTTAAGTCACACGACTTGCAGGGTTTTCCGTGGTCCAAAAATCTGAGACATCACCTCCAGTGAGTTATGATGACATATTCACAACTCAAGTTTTCATCAAATTCGATTTTTGTAACTCGATTAAATGTATGTGTTGCTAAATGGCAATAGTGGAACGCGTAATAATAATGCATAAGGTAAAAACTCAGTATGTTAAAACTGAAATGAGAGAAACTCATTGCTTCAAACACCACTAGGCGTTCACTGCGTGTCTGCATCGTCTTCTGAGGTGAAAGTCTTTATTAAAGAAAGAAAAGATTCACACAGCTTCTCCTACCGCAGCAAATTCCGTTTTGACCTTTTATATTTGGCGCCAGTTATTCAGGAGGTGTTGATTTTGTTCTTTTTGGCTCGTTAGATGGAAATGCTGCTCTATTCGCACATATTTTATGCAATATTCCAGTTTTGTGCATACATTTTATTAGCATTTTTAGATGAAAACATATATATTTCCTAAACTTCTGTCACACAAAGAACAAAGTTAGGAGAATGGCTTGTCCTTTTAAAATAAATAATTATCTTAATTTTACTGTCCTTCAGGGACATGTGCTGTAACTAGATTAAAAGGATTCTTACTTATTCTAAAAACTATTTTTTATTAATGCTCACATTCTAAATGTCATATCAACCTCTACCACTTGATCAATAATAAAGGCAGACACGCAAGTGCACTGTTAAATCTATTAAAAACTCAATTTTGGAAATGTTACCTTAAGCTGATCATTGTGTGTAAAAGTGGGACCCTAAATTAACGATTCCACTGAACATTAAGCTAAGGTTATCTGCATTCTTGTTTTGTCAAATTTGTTGTAGAAACTATCTAGTAGCCTAGTTATGTGATTTAATGCAATTACATCTGAAATAACTTCCAAATTACGGCAAATTCTCCACTTTTTCCAAGTAAAAGTCTATAAAAGTCACACATTACATACTTATTTTTTATTATACTTTAATATTTAAATACTTTAAATATTTTAAATGTAAACTTACGCATTAACTTGAGCAGCTACACTTTCCCACGCTGATGCAGTGTTGTCTTTTTAAATATATTATGCTCATGTTTGCTATAACTTTCAGAGTTCAGCTGGAAAGAAAAATGCTGATCTCTTTTTTTAGATGTTGCCATGGTGACTTGTAATATCAGCACCCCTTTAATAATGCTTATTTATAGACGCGGTGAAAGCGCTTAACTCTGAATTAGTCCACTCAGACTTGGTTGACCTAACTATCAGCTGGTCTGAAACTTGGATTTTTAATCTCTCGGTAGGTGAACTCAGAGTTCAAGTTTAAACTCTGAGTTGGTTGAACCTCTTTTTCTGAAACAGGCCCCTTTTAAGTTGTAACAATAACATGCATGAATGCTAGTTATATAATGTTGATTAGTCATGTGGTAATGGCATTTGCATTCTGGATCAAATCTAGTTTTAATGGCAATACTTTTGGTTAGAAATAAATACAGAGAACAGTGTGTTAGTGAGGACCACCATGTTTTATGGTAAGTGAAAGGAAAAGGACAGAACTGACTCTTTCTGCAGATGAAAGTGAAGATAAGATGGGTTTTAGTGACCATGAGAATGATGCAGATTGGACATTTGATAAGAGCAGTTATAGAGACAGTTCAAGTAAGTTAACTAAGAGGCAAATAAGACAGGTGTAGTACAGCATAATATAATATATAAACATTGTTAGCTAGTAGCTGGGCCATTCTTCAACTACGGGCACTTTCAGCCTTGTGAAGTTGAGTAAAAAAAAACTTGTTCAAAATTAACGTAACAGCCTCATAAGTTTAAACTATTTGTCTAGTTTTAAGATCTGTAAGAGGACAAACTTAGATAAGAAGAAAAACATTTTTTTACATCATGAACTGAACAAATGTCAATTCCACCACATCTCAATATACGGCTTATTTCAAAATAAAAATTATGGCAGGCAAACATTGTCTAAGATCATTTTTGTATCTAGTTTAACCAATCTTTCTACAATATATATAATAATTATAAATTTGTTAAACAAATTGTACGCCTGTCACACTCTAAAATTTTATATTCATTTGATTTAGAGTATATTACAAATTAACTGAATTTGTATATTAAATAGAGCATGAACTTATACATTGTGAATGCACTTTTAATATGTGATGAGAACTTTTTAAATATATTTTAAAGTGTATGTGGTGACGGAAATGACAGTGGTGGAAATGACATTTCAACAATTTATTGTGGAAAAAAAATGAAATATAGATTCACAGCTTAGCTTTGAAGATTAGCTTTGAATTGATACTGGTCTTTCATGTATACAAAACACTCTTATTTACCTTAATTTTGTTTGGTTTTTAAAACCATCTTTAAAAGGTACAGCATGTTTGGAAATGACGTAGAATAAATGTATTTCCTTATCCAGCAATACTTACCTTGATTTTTCTTCAAGTTTTGTTGATGAAAACTTAAATTCCCTCCATCTTGAACATGTTGTCAGATGGCACTATTCATTTTCATAGAAACCAGCTAAATAATCTTTCACGTAACCTTTTTAAAGCGACATTACAGTGTTGTGGTGGAAATGACACTGATACTGTGCGACAGCTATATTGTGTATAAAAAAGACTACTGATAAGAGTCTCACATTAATAACTATAAAACATTTAGATTATTTCACTAGTGCTATAACTTTCCAGATAAATGATATTTTAAAATGTTATTTTTGTTATTGAAGTTTAAAACTCTGGGTGTGCGGCAAGGAGAAAACAGTGATTTTGACACCTAAAGGATGTTGAATATGAAAAAAAATTAAATAGAAAGCTGGTAAAAAGATGTTAAAGTAGGTTTTATTATTAGTTTGACAAAGAAAGAGAAATTTGAACAAAATTATTCAGATTTTTGGATATATGATCAAAGGACATAAAAGTGCCCCAAGTTGAAGAACTTACCCAGCTACATTATTCTGATGCATCTGGATATATTAGACTTGATATTCATTTGTTATAATATTTACTGGAGGAAATATTTATACCACCTGTATACATGATAATACAGTATTGCGTTTGTTTTTAATAATATTTAGCAATATTAAAATAATGCAATTATTGAAAGCTGTTGAAATAACAGTTGTTGGGAAGTATATAAGGTGTCATTTACTAATTCTGTGTTAAAGCTTATAAAACTGCCACACCAATTAAATCATTTTAAACAACAAAATCATTAACTATTGACTTCCAAAGCAGGGAAACAAATATTACAGATGCCAATTATTACAGGTTTTCAGCTTTCTTCAAAATGTCTTCAACAGAAGAAACAAGTGAAGGAGTCAGTATAATAAGTAAAGAGAGAGCAAATAATAAAGAAAGTTCATTTTTGGGTGAACTACGCCTTTACCCGAGTGTGTATAATTGACCTCACCTGTGGCAGACGCCATTTGAACCGCTGTGAATAAATTGAAGGGTCTGCCCAGATTTCTTCTGCGCGCCGCCCCGAACACAAACAGTCCTGAAGCGATGAGTCCCCCGCAGGCCACGACTCGACACCTCCAGCAGTTAAAAAAGGCCTCTAGAGTGTGCTCTAACAATGGCGGCGGATTCGACATGTTCGGGTAAAATGTGTACAGTATCAAGCTCCCGTGTAGAGCTTTCTTCTGTTTCAAAACAAAAACTAGCGTTTATGTCATTGACGACCTTCTTCTTCTTCTTTGCTTTTTGTCGGTTGGCAAAGCAGCTTATTTAGGCCACCTGCTGGAGTGGAGTGTATATTCCTAAAGTAGAGGTTGCTTAGTGATTTCTATAAACCTAATGCTTTATTTTATTAAACTGTTAGAATTACAATATGTTATCCATAACCCACAGAAGAAACTAAATAGTAGTTACTAGTTAAATTAAAAACAACACCTTACAAATCAATCTACGCTCCTACTCTCACCTATGGTCATGACCGAAAGGACAAGATCTCGGATACAAGCGGCCAAAATGAGTTTCCTTCGAAGGGTGGCAGGGTGCACACTTATGGATAGGGGGAGGAGCTTGGAGTAGAGCTGCTGCTCCTCCACATCGAGAGAAGTCAGCTGAGGTTACTCGGGCATCTGTTTCAGATGCCTCCTGGACTTCTACCTAGGGAGGTTTTCCAGGCATGGAGGGACTATATCTCTAGGCTGGCCTGGGAACGCCTTGGGATCCCCCCGGAGGAGCTGGAGGAAGTGTCTGGGGAGAGGGAAGTCTGGGGTTCTCTCCTAAGACTGCTACCCCTGCGATCCGGCCCCAGAAAAGTGGCAGAAAATGAATGAACATACAAATAAAAAGCCCTCAGCCTCTCCCTTTTTTTGCGACCCCTGGGGTGATTATGTTTGCATGTTCTCCCCGTGTTGGCAGGGGTTTCCTCTGTGTGTGAATGCAAGAGTGCATGGGTGTTTCCCAGTGTTGGGTTGTGGCTGGAAGGGCATCCGCTGTGTGAAAACATGTGCTGGATAAGTTGGCAGTTCATTCCGCTGTGGCGACCCCTGATAAATAAAGAGACTAAGCGGAATGAGTGAATGAATAATTGACACACTGACTTTGTGGACAAACGTTGATCCTTTTAGGTTAATGCAAAATAGAACAAGTGATAGCGGCAGGGCACAGAGGAGAGAATTCACTGTAACTGGTGCTGTGTCACTAAAATAATAGTAGAAAAGCCACCTGATTTATAAAAACAAACCCATTTGTGCACTTTATGAGCTATACTCATGTTGCGTAAGGTTCCTTCTGAGGTAAAATAAAATCAAAATGTAAATCAGTAGGATGACAGTGACAATCAAGACTTTGTAGTTTGCAAATTAAAACATTTAGTGAAAGTTTGATGACATTTTGACAATTGTTTACATTTCATTTAACTTTGCAGCATCAACATGGCTTTGCTGATTCAGTATAAAATTCCATGTCAATAAAGAAACAGTCCAAAGCTATTTGCTTGTAATTTTTCCCACCGGATTAGCGATCAGCACAATCCCCCAGGCGCTCAGACCTGTGGAGGAAAACACATTAAGATCACTTCATTTCAGAGGAGAGAGAGAGATTTATGTGTATTTTTATTTAATTATATTAATAACAATTATTATTACTATCATACAATATTTTTAAATGTATATGTATGTTCTTTTAATGTGAACTGTATACATGCTTTAGCAATACATTTGCGACATTAGACATCCATTAAAGCAATTACTGAATCGAGATAGAGAGAAATAGAGAAAATGTTTTATTATTTTCTGCCCCATATACACCACAGCAGGAAAATTATTTTTCCCACAATTTGAAACATTGAATAGTTCATTCTTTAACCTAAAAATCTACTAAACACTTGTAATTTGGCGGTTCACTTCGCTGTGGCGACCCCTGATTAATAAAGGGACTAAAGCCGAAAGGAAAAAGAATGAATGAAAGCATGAATGACCATGAAACTTGCATGAATGATCTCTCACCTGTGGCGAACATCATCTGTAACACCGCGCTCACTGTTGGGGGTTTACCGAGATTTCTCCTGTGCACTTGCGCGAACACATAAATCCCTGCAGCGATGAGTCCTCCGCCGGAGAGCAGGCGGCAGCTCCAGCAGTCTCCGGCCGCAGATCTGCTGCTCTTCTGCGGACTCACCTTCTCCTCCAGCGGCGCGGGATTGGACATGTTCAGGTGACAGTCTGTAGTTTCCGAGCGGATGAAAGTGTCGAAGCTCTCAGTATTGTTCTCTTCTGTTCATAAAACTGTTTATGTTCATTATTCACAATTTTAATAGAGAACTGCCCACTAGCTTCATCTTTAAGAGCAACATATCGGCATGTCCCAATGACCTTAAACACCGGAAGCGTTTAGTGCTCCGATTTGTTATTGTATTCGGGCAAGTTATTGCTGCGCCAATGCTACGCAGATAAGGTTATGTTTTGTAATAGCCAAAATACACTGTTTGGGTACAAATATTAAATACAAGTCATGTTTCTTAAAGATAATTGTACATTTCTTCCTCTAAATGTATCTAAACTTTATATTTTTTTACATTTGTAAAGTGGATTAAGCTCTTAATTCAGATTGATGCATTTTTAACCCTCAGATTTACCCATTTTTTGTTTATTTTTATTAATCATAAGCTCAAGTACAAACCATTACGCCATATTCAACAATCAAGTACATATAAAAGTGACGATATAAAAGTACAAGACTTGAACATAAAAAAAATACATAAATAGATAAAATAAAAAAGGAGACGTGAGGGTCTTAATCAAATCATAGAGTCCAAGGCATGTGAAAGCTTTCAGGCATTTCTGTTCCTCATGAAGTGAAGAGACCTAATGGACATCTTCAGATAATTCCTATATCCATTAAAGCGCGGCTTCACCTTTACAATTTTGCATGAATGAAGTGTTTATCTAGAATAATTAGATTATTTACCAAAACGTTTAGGTCTTGTCTTCAAAAATATACCAACTTTGATTGAGACCAGGTAAAGAGTGTTTGAAATGCAGCAAGTGCTGAAATTCCATTCAATAATATTTCTCACAAAAGCTGCATGAATTGATTTCCCAGTTAAAAGTAATAACTTTAGTACTAAAGTAGTTTAAAGTAAAAAATGATAAGATAGGGTAAATGTCATTTAAGATTTTAAATGCTACTTCTTTAGCCCTCAACCTGATATCGTCTCATATATACAAACCCTTACAAAAATAGCCTACAGGAATCCTGCAGGAATTTCATACAGGTATCCTACAGGATTTTCAGCTCATTTTCCTGTAGGAATACCTGCAGGAATTTTGTGAAGGAAATTTTAAGAAAGAAATTTATGAAGGAAATTTATGCAGGGATTGTTCCTGCAGGAATTACAATCCTACAGGTCTAATAAAATATACAGTTCCTGCAGGATTATTGTGCAGGATAGACATAAAGTTAGAGAAATTTCACAATGAATCAATGTATTTTCACAAATTATTTATTAAAATTGTTAAAAAAAATAAAAATAAAAAGTAGACCAGAATCCAATGAACAGGCTGCGTTTACTCCATTTTCCTAAAAAAAAGAGGAAAAAAAAGTGTCCTGTAAGTGGTAGAGTATACAGAATACAGTCTGTACAGTATAAAAAACATTACAGCTATGAAGAATCCCCATAAACAACCAATGGACCCTTTTCACAAGACTGTTATGATGTGTTGTTAAAGATCATCTGCATCTTAAATACCTTAAAGTTTTTAATATTTAGATTTTTCAAACTTATGTACATTTACATTCATTTATGTATAATACAATCTTTATGTCAAATTAAAAAAACAATGCGAGGAGTATCTAATGAAGTGTCTATGGGGACAGGACAGTAAATTTGACATTGTTTTCAAATGTCAAAAAAGTCGTTGTACTCTCTCATTCACTGCGCTTGGAGTTTACCAACTATGATGGTTTCAGCTGCTAAAAAACACGCAAATGTGAAAAGGGTCCATACAAGTGTGTGCGTGTGTGTGTGTGCGTGCGTGCACAAATGATTACCTTACTTGTAACTTGTGCTCATCATTTACTTTTTCCCCTTACTGCTGCTCTGATAAATTTTATTGGTACGTTTGGAAACTTCTTCTGTACTACGTCTGTAAATTCCCCTCTTCTGAATATCCTCCTCCTGAGAGTTTCTTTGTTCTCTAAAGAGAAATAGATAAAGTTGAAAATACTTATCTTCAATCATGATAAAGCATGGGCAGGATTTAAGTTTCTGTTGGTATGATAACATTGGATAAAATATCACAATATTGTGATTACTGCTCTAAAATAATTTATTTTTAAACATCTGAGTAAAAAACAACAACTTAAACACATTATATTTTAGGAAAGATTTTAAATATTTTGGAACGGCAAACATGTCAGGCTAAATAATTAAAATAAATCATTGACTGCTGCTGTCGTCATTAGTTTCAAAAACAGATTTCTTTACAACACATAAAAAACCTTTACAAATACCTTGGAAACGGTATAGCAGAAAATATTGGTGGTTATAAAACCGTGACTTTTCCAAACAGACATAAACCTTGAAACCGGTTATTGTCCAATACTCATGATCACAAGTCTTGATGTTTGCTGTACGTTTTACCTTTAATGTCTAGAACTGTGGCTGGTGAACTTTCATCCTCATAGGCAACATCCACAACATCCCCAGGTTCAAATTTCTTTTTCAGTAGGTTCTTTTTAGAAACAATATTGTCATAGGTCGATGGTTCCTCCTTCCATTCCACTAATGTTAGGACTCATGTTTTGCCCATTTTCTAAGATAGATAAATATATAGACATAAATAAACACACACATACATGCACACAATTAATTCTGATGGCTACAGCTGACTGTATCCATGACAACAGTTTTACCTTAATGTACCTGCCAAAGAGCAGTTTGCTGTCCGGCCGCAGCGATAAATGATTTCTGAGGTAACAAAAAACTATATTAGCATCAATTATAAGCAGTAAAAATACTAAATAAAACACTGGTTATGTTAACAATGATAAAAATATCCTTTCATATAGTCATTTTTTAAATTAAGTTCTGATATGATGGGCGGTAGTAGACATTTAGCAATGTACTAGTATTGTTAATGTGATCTCGACTTTAAAAATCAAGTAGGTATTTGTTTTGGTGTTACAAAACAATTTACTGATTTAACATTAAAACAGAGCAGTTGTTAGAGCACTTTAACGATAAAATAACTTTAGAAAAGTGTTTTACCTTCAGAAGACGGTTGGTGACAGTTGACTGACGTGCATTCGAATCGGCGACGTGAAGCGAGTCATCTCAATGAATCGAATCTTTTCTCTGAATGATTCATTTTACCGGAGTTTAAACTACACTGTTACGCCAGTAGGTGGCGAAAAGGAGCGTCTTTTTTAAGCGTGAAAGACTGTATAAATCTGTAAAGCACAGATTCATCAAAACACACGTATTCCACAAACAAATAATTTATTTTGTAAGAAAAAATCTGTTTATAAGAATGTTTGTTTTAATGTGTCTAGTCCATTTTGTCAAATAATACACACACATATATTAGTAGTAGTCATTATTAACTTAAAATATTGTAAATATATTATGTGTATAAAATAGACCTATACATTATTGGCAGCAATGTATTATCTAATTTCAATTTAGCATTTATATCTTATTTTATTTAAAATGTTTAACAAATGTTTATATTAATTTAATAATTAAATTTACTCTAACATTGCAGAAAACACATTATGTTTACCAATCACCTGAACAATAACCTTAACCTGCTTCTTTTTAAAGAATAAAAATGGAGTAAAAAGTGTACTTAAATGAAGAGGCACCAGTCCCAGCTGCCACAAAAAGGCATGGACACAGAATAAAATAGGTTGCTCAGGTCAAAAAGACAGAGAATAAAGGATAACAGCAACAAACATTTTAAAAGAAAGAGGAAGAGACTCTGTTGAACTCATAAAATGCACACACATACGTTTAACATATATCTACCTCAAGGACAGGTCTTGCAGTTTTTTTATTTTTTTATTTTAATTTTTTTTTGCATCTAACCAAACAGATTTTTAATAAATGAAAAAAAGTATAGAAATGAAACGTAAAAGTGTACAGCTTGCTTGTTTGCATAAATGCATAATTTGAATGGTTTAGTGTAATGGTTGATTTTTATAATTGCCTATAATCTATTTGTATACTTTATTTATGTATTTATTTTCTTATTTTTTGTTTGTTTGTTGTAATGTTTATCTGTTAGAACTCATATTGTATTGCTACCAAAAACAAGTGACACAATTTCTTTCATTCCAATTACAACAAATAATTCCTGCAAGTCCTGCAGGAATTATAAAAATCCTGCAGGATTTGTCACTTGCTTGGATCCATTGTAAAAACCTGTAGGAAATTCCTGCACATATTGTTAATGTGTCCTACAGGATTTTTGAATTCCTGCAGGACAGCAGCTTTTATGAAGGGAAAAAAAATGAATCCTTCAGGATTCCTGCAAAAAGTACTGCATGATTCTAAAACCTGTAGGAATTGCCTGCACATATTGTCAATTTGTCCTGCAGGATTTCATAATTCCTACAGGATACCAGCAGGTTCCTGCAGAAAAAAATGAAAATCCTGCAGGATTCCTGTAGGCTATTTTTGTAAGGGAATAGTTGTATCTCAGTCAAATATTGTCATTTCTTACCAAAATATACACCACTGGACAGTTTATTGATTCAGCTTTGAAGTGATGTAAAAATCTCAATTTCAGATATTTGTACATTCTGTGAGGTTGACTTTGAAACGACTGCACATTTAATTATTTTTTGACTGTCTGCATAGCAGAACCTTCTGGTCTGATTCATTTGAGGGGTTAAAAGTTTATCTCAAGTTTTTTTCCCAATTTTCTTTATTAGGGGAAGATGTTAATATTCAATTTCTATTGAACATTTTTCAAATTTATTTTCATAAATGCAAGTGCCTTAAAACAAATCCACTGTTTTGGGTTTGGTACAATCAAAATTAGGAAGAAGACTGTTTAGAATTAAATTAATAAAAGACCCGGTTGAGTAATTTGTTTTGTTGGCTGTGTTTGTTTGTGTCTTTTCTCTGTTTAAAAAAAAAAGATAAATTTATTTTTATTAGAACCTTATTGATTTGATTATATTTGTGCTGTTTTCTGTAAATGTAGATGAAAGTTGTTAATCGATGTCGCTGTGGCGCAGTGGGTAGTGGTGTCACCTCACAGCAAGAAGATCACAGGTTTGCGCCTCGGCTGGGTTAGTTGGCATTTCTGTGTTCATGTTCTCCCCGTGTTAGCATCCGGGTGCTCTGGTTTCCCCCAACAAGTCCAAAGACATGCGTTATAGGAAAATTGGGTAGGCTAAATTGTCAGTAGTGTACGTGTGTGAATGAGTGTTTCTCAGTGATTGGTTGCAGCTGGAAGGACATCCGCTGCTTAAAACATATGCTGGATAAGTTGGCGGTTCATGCCACTGTGGTGACCCCAAATTAATAAAGGGACTAAGGTGAAAAAAAAAATAACTGAATGAATGATTTGATTGGTTTCGTGGTACATGGTCACATGTGTCCAAGACTAAGATGTACAATCCCACATGGAAAGAACCTATATGAGAATATATGCTCATATATAAAACCTATATGCATTAAATATGCACATAATATGTGAAATATGATATGATAATATATATGCTGTTTGTGTATATTTGCCACATATAGACAAAATTGAGCTGCATGTATGTGCATATACAGTCTCCTGTATTGCTTCCTTATATTCACATATAAGCCCTATATGTACATACAAGATGTCTCCTATATTGCTCATGTCTTACTTTGGCAACTGACATACATGATGCCTAGCTCAGATTTTCTATTATCAAGGCAATATCTAAGAACTAACTAAAAAATGCTAAATAAATAAATAAATAAATAAATACTTGTGTGCGATCACTTGAAATTGGTATCACATGCAGTTGGCATGTTATGGTATTTGGCAAACAAGTGAGGAGATGTATGGAAATGGAAAGTTATGTCCACACATTTTCCTGAAACATTTACAACATCAATTCTTTCTTGTATGAAGATAGTGGAAAAGAAGCGAATGTATAACACAATGGCTTTTTGTTGTTTTTAGTTTTTGTCTTACTTTTGTTCCTGTACTATTAGATTGTTCTTAAGTAAAGAATAAAAAAAAATCTGCATGGACTTTTATTTATGTTGTCTAGCAGCTATGGATTTTAATAATTTACTTATATATAGGTAAGCATATTAAGTGAATATATGCATTTATGGACCTACAGTTGAAGTCAGAATTATTAGCCCCGTTTATTATTTTCACCAATTTCAGTTTAATGGAGACCAGATTTTTTTTTCAACACATTTCTGAACCTAAAAGTTTTAATAACTAATTTCTAATTACTGATTTATTTTATCTTTGCCATGATGACAGTAAATTATATTTGACTAGGTATTTTTCAAGACACTTTTGTACAGCTTAAAGTAACATTTAAAGGCTTAACTAAGTTCATAAGGTTAACTAGGCAGGTTAGGTTAAATAGGCAAGTTATTGTATAAGGATGGTTTGTTTAGCAGATTCTCGGAAAAAATCTTAAAGGGGCTAATAATATTGACCTTAAAAGGTTTTTTTTTAAATTATAAACTGCTTTCATTCTAGCCAAAATAAAACAAATAAGACTTTCTCCGGAATAAAAAAAGATTATCAGACATATTGTGAAAATTTGGCGACGTAAGTAGTGGCACAGTAGCTAGTGCAGTCGCCTCACAGCAAGAAGGTCGTTGGGTTGCTGGTTCGAACCTCGGCTCAGTTGGTGTTTTTGTGTGGAGTTTGCATGTTCTCACTGTGTTTGTGTGGGTTTCCTCCGGGTGCTCCAGTTTCCCCCACAGTCCAAAGACATGCAGTACAGAATTGGGTAGGCTAAATTGTGTGTGTGTGTGTGTGTCCTAGAAATGGGTTGTGACTGGAAGGGTATCTGCTGCGTAAAAATGTGCTGGATAAGTTGGCGGTTGATTCCGCTGTGGCCACCCCGGATTAATACAGGGACTAAGCTGACAAAAAAATGAATGAATGAATGTTTATATAGGTTCTTCCAGTGTGGGATATTAAAAGTGTCAAACATTAGTGAATACACACAAAACCACTTGTTTAAGTTTTATTTGCAGTACAATCCTCATCAACATTTTTATAAGCATAAATAAACAACATCAACAGTAAAACAACAGTGCTTTCATTCACAGAAAACTGTGGGTTATGGACAGGCCACAAACCAGCTATAGCATGTCTCAAGGTGTGAACAAGGCCCAAAAAGACAAATATTCTTCAAGAAAACTAAAGCAAAACAAATCTTGCAGGACGTCGTTTAGCATGAGTGTCCATGAAGTAATGCACATGACATGAGTTTCCATACAATTTATTTCAATAAATCACCGTTTCCATATTTTTCTCTCCCCATCATGATTGTGATATCTGGTTCCATCATTTCTGGCTCCCAAATCCACGTGCAATGTTATCATTGGTCTCTGCAGCATCCTTTAAAACCTGAAGCATGATGGCATTTCTTTTCCTGGTCTCTTCCATTCGGACTGGATTGGCTTCAGGTAGACTCTGAGGAAACAGATGGAGAAATTGATCACTCTAATCAGTTGCAAAGTAAAGCTTGTAGATTTTAACATTCCTGATATAGAGATCATTTAATATGTGTTAGTAGTGAGACGTGTTTATTAAAGTGGCTTTTTTGATGGATTTACAACAGCTAATGTAAATCTATTAATGAATATGGAGGTGTATAAATTGATCAGAGGTAGTAACGTTACATATCAAAGTTTGAATATACGATCCTAATTCGGGTAAAGTTGATTTTAAAGTTCCACATTTGAACTTTGTCTTTAACAATATCATTTCAAACAAGTATTCTTTGTGAATTTAAATAGTGAAATCAAATTATTAGCCAATGATTATCAAAGTACAACAGTGCTCACAGTCTATGGCAAGCCATTTTGACACTTCCTGCAGCAACCTAGCTTTCCCATGTGGTCTCCCTTCCAGGTACTGACCTATATAAAGAGTTTGGTTCCAAGATGCTAAATTGATTTAATTTGAGTAAAAATATGTAAATAAAGAAAGCGGCAAGATAAAAAACTATTTTCTGTTTAAGAGTTTCACAGGTAAAAATGCTGA